TTCTCTCTCTCTTTTTAAAAAGAAACCTCGGTCTTATTGTTCAGGTATCCTGGGATGTCATAGTATTCCACAACAAGTCTTTATTTAATGAGAGTTTTTAAAATGTTAACAATGACTTTTCATTTTAATAGTTCAGATTAGGTAATCTTTATGGTCATTTCCATAGTTGCCTACCACTGTTGCCTTCTGATAGGTAAGGAGAGTACCAAAATCATATCCTTTACAGATATGTCTTCCATTTTGGGGCCAGATCTCATCCTCACAAGGATTCCTTTTGGAATTTATTGCCTTTACGTAGTTAACACGTATGTAAACTTACTTTGTGGACTTGGGGGATTCAAAAAAATGGTAAAATGTGTTTCTTGACAAAGAAAGAAGAATTGTATACTGAGAGTTTTTAAGTGTAATTTTCACCTAAATATCCAGAATATTTACTACACTCAACTTATTATTTTCATGGTCCCCTTTGCTTGGATTGGCCTTACCGTTTAGTCATCAAGGCCAGAATACTTGGACTTATTCTTATTTCCTTCCTTTCTTCCTTGTACAACATATAAATCAATAAATTATGTACTTTTGCTCCTTATGTATCTACTGCTACCTCAATTCTGGTCCTCATAATTGTTATTTGGACTCTTACAGTGATCTATATTGGTTTTTCTGCTGCTAGTCTTCATTTTCTTCCAGTTGACCACTTCTCTGTACCTAGAGAATTTTTCTCATTTCTAAAGATGATCTTGTTACTTCTTCTTAAATTATTTCATTTTTTCTCCATCGCCTTCTAGTTAACATTGAAACTGCTTTTTATGCACCTTTAATTTTATGTCTCTGTTAATTCTTTATAACCTATTGCTCTGCTTTGTACAAAGTTACTTACCATTATCTACCTGGTGGATAATGTTTTTTCACGTGTGGTCCTTTATCATGCTTTTTAGGCAGTGGTTCTGCATAACCTTTCCTATCTTCATTTGGAAAAATTATATTTGTCATTTTTTGGGGGGGGGACAGGGTCTCACTATGCAGCTTAGGCTGGCCTTGACTTCACTATGTAGCCCAGGCTGGCCTTGAACTCAAGGGAGTCCTCCTATGTCAGCCTCTCAAGTGCTTGGATTACAGGTGTGCACTACCATGCCAAGCTTATATTTGTCTTTTAAAATCACTATTTGGTATCTTTTCTTCTGTGAAGTCTTTCCTGAAACCTCTTCAAGCAGATCTGACTATTTTCTCCTCTGTGCAGTCATTGTCCTCTGTATTTATTTATATTATTATATTCATTGCATTGAATTACAGTACTTATTTGCCTATTTGCTTCTGGTAATAGTATGATATGAGGTTCATGGATCAGAGATAGCATCTTTCTTTCTGGGGATCGAACTCAGGACCTTTACACTGAGCTACATCCCTGACAACTCCTTTTTTATATTTTTATTTTTAAATTTTGAGACATGTTCTTGCTAAGTTGACTAGGTTTGCAATCTCTCTGTCTCAGCCTCCCAGAGCGCTGGGGTTACAGGCATGCACCACCCTGCCTATTAGTGTTTCTTATATATCCACCATGTCTGCTACCAAGCAGATATTCAATACAGATTTGACTAAAAATCATAATACAGAGAAACACACCATATGAGTTAAACAGTAAGAGAAGGCTTTATAAAGGAAGAATTTTAGTTGAGTTTTGGAGGAAACCTTGGATTTAGACAGGGAGAAGTCATCAGAGAGAGAAGTGTGTAAGACAGCAGAGGTAGAAATAGGAGGTAGAATCTTATCCAAGTAGAAAATTCATGTTGGAGAGTGCTGATAAGTACACTGGAACATTAAGTTCAGCTTTCATTATGGTTGACTCTTTATGGAGTTTGGACTTGGAACTTGTTTAATTCTCTCCTCCCAACCACTCAGAGCCTGGATGTAGTTGCAAGGGGCATTATAGTGGGAAGGTGATTATTTCCATTTAAGTATTTCCATTTTGGAATTGTAGCAATGGTAGAAAATACAATAATAATAGGAGACTGGAGGTGTGTTACTGGATCTTGGGAGAGGGGAAAGAGTCATAATAGAGAAGAGGAGGAGCTAAGAGAGAACTCTTACTCAATTTCTAAATATTAGGAAAGGAGAGAATAATAAATATGAGAGACTTAAGAAAAAAGTGTTAAAAGATGTAAAAATTATTCACAAATAGAATGCACAACAAAGAAAAAAATGCTTTCTAAAGTCTAGGTGTTACTTTTATGCTTGGTACCCTTCTCCCCCTAACCCAGCACAGCCAGCAGAGATCAGTCAGCTGCTTCTGTGGCTCATTATTGTGAGGGTTGTCCTTGAGGCATATAATATGTGGTTGTGGTAAACAGCAGAGCATGGTAGGAAAGGCTTCTAAAGGGCTTTTATTGGGTAATTTTCATGCACTGTAATGTTACTTTTTCATTTTAATTTACATTATATGCATTTATATATTTATATTTAGCCTTCACCACTTTCTACAAATCTCATAACTCATATTTTTCAATAGATAGTAATTTCATTTACATCCATAATGATAATATCTGAGTATTTACTTTATTGTTCTACCTGAACTTGATATTTCCAACTTGGCCAATTTCTAATTTCCGTATCTTCTCTGAATGCTCCTTTACATATTGGGGAACTCTTGATAGTTCTGACAGAGACTCCAGATTCTGACCGAGCTTTAGAATACAGCTTGAAATACTTTGACTTCTAGAAGAGGGCTCACCATATCAATTTGCCAATTTGGCCCAAACTACTTTTCAGTCTTCTAAATTTATAGGAAACCAGATGCCAATTAAAAGAAAAATCATAGAAAATCTGAAATTACTCCCATGGATTACTTTCCAGATCTTTATCAGGTTTAAATGAGAGTATCTAGTGTGTCTCCTCTTGATTGCTTTTGATACACTGTAGTATTTTATTGATCGTGAAAGAAAAATAATGAACTTGGAATTTAGTAAGATAAGACCTACTTATGAAAAGCTTTCGTTTTGGTGTACTAAAAGAATGTAGAGTTTAGGGAGTAAATGATCACTCTTTAGTTGAGTGCTTGCTTTTCAAATATGAAAGCTTTTGAAGTTCACTCTTCCATTGTGCTCTCTGAAATTTTTGATTCCTGCTTATGGGTTTGAATTTGATATAGGTGGAGAACATCTTACTTTTGAGGTTAATATTATTAAAGAATGTGCTGTTTAATTTTGGACCTCAAATACATTACACTACTTGGAGTGTATGTATGTCTTATATGCAAAGCCAAATTACATGTTTTGGCGTATGTTCTCACGTGTTTGTTGCTGAGGTCAAGTATTTTATGTGAGTCAAATCAAAATATCAATGAGTAATATGCTGAGAAACAAGTTTGTCCATTGATTCAAATCTCTGGAATGTAGATTCTTTTCATTTTCTTGGCAGAAGCTAAGTTGCATAGTTTTAAGTTTTTCTCTGTCCTAATAATTTGTTTCATTTGACTAGTGCCTGAGTTAACTTCTTGTATTTAATATTTATCTTGAATTCCTTAGTCTTACTGGAAAAATTTGGAGACACTGATTTTTTGTTTTAACTAATTTCTACTTGTCACTGAGAAGAAATAATATATATTGATTGAGGAACGTATGTTCTGATAGGTCAAATGTTTAAGCTTTGTTTTTTGGCATGCTAGTATGTATTGGGGAGAGAGAGAGAGGGACAGAGAGAGAGAGAGAGAGACAGAGAGGAGGGGAGAGGAGAGAAGAGGAGATGAGAGGAGAGGAGAGGGAAAGAGAAGTTCCACTGGGAAATACTTTTGGAATATGCTGGATTTAACAAGAGTAAATAAATTTCTTTAAAATAGTATTGCATCCAGCTGTGTTAATATATATTGTTTATCTACAAAAAAGCTATATGTATGCAGTGTTTTCCATTGATTTTTCCATAGAACCTTATTTTAGAAAGCACTTTTGTCATGGTTTTAGGAGGGACTGTTGGTCAGTGGACTGATCTGGGACTGAGGATATCTTTTGAATTACCCTTCACTTGCATTGTGACCTTGAAAAAAATCCTTTGCCTTTAACTTTAGTTTTCTGAGTGGTGACTGAAGTCATTTCCAGCTGAAATGTGTAGTTTAACACTTACATTGTTGACTTTGGAGAGTAGCACCATTTTTTAATCTGTTGAAGCCATAGTATAATTTCAGTCAATTTTGTTAGGCTACAGGGTCATACTTCCTATTCTGTATAAGTTCAAAAGAAGAAACCCTTTAAGTCTCTTTCCCATAGGTCACAGTCGGAAGATCCTGTTTGAACTGTTCTAATCATACTCTCGGGAAAAAAGTCTTTCTCTTAAAATAGTTTATCCTCTAGATCACATATATATTACCAGTCTCATATATCCACACAACTGTTTTTAAGTCTCCTAAGCTTAAATTTATCAAAATTAATTCCAAGGTCCTCCCCTTCTCCTTCAACTATTATAGTTTCAGTATGGTATTTTCTTGTAAGAGATAAATATCAGGCATTTGTGATAATCTCATAGCTACTTAGGTGCAAATGGATAAATTTAATTTTGTGGGGATTAAGTGGTAATACTTGAAAAGTCTTATGATAATGTTTTAACTTGGAAAGTGAGTTAAGGCAGCATAACTTTGAGGTTAAAGTATATATGTTTTATGTTTGAGTTTATTTCTGGTTGCTAAAAGCTTATATCTGCTGGTTGTGGTGGTGCACACCTGTAATCCCAGCACTAGAAAGGCAGAGGCAGGAGGATTTTCATTAGATTGAGGCCAGCTTGGCCTATCTAGTGAGTTCAAGGCCAGTCTGAACTAGAAAGCAATACTCTGTCTCAAAACGACAAAAACAACAATAATAACCAACAACTAAAAACCAAAACAAAAACTTATTCTAAGGAACTTTGTTGTAATATTTTCTTTAAGATAATAATTTGATGAAAATTAGAAGTTCACTGAAAGCTTAATTAAGTTTTCTTTCCTTTCTTTCTTTTTCTCTGTATGTGTTTCTTTATCCTAGGCTCAGCAGCAAAGAAACTTGGATAACATTGTCTTGCAACAGCCCAGAATAGGTAGCAAGAGAAAATCTAAGAAAGATGTGTATACGATCTTTGATACAGAGATGGAAAACACTAGCCCTAAGTCTGAACAGGATTCAGGAATTCTGGATGTCGAAGATGAGGAAGATGATGAGGAGGTAATTAATATTTGAACTGGGGAAGTGAGACCATTTTTAAGCTTAAATACAGTACATTTGAGATGTGAGTTTATTCATATAATAACTTTGTATGATCTGCCTATTCAATGACTTGAATTCAAATGAACCCTAAGTTAAAGAAACTGAAGATATGTGAAGATAATTTACATTTTGATTTTTGGAAAGAATTTGGATTTTAAATGTACTCTCACATTTTTGAAAAGATTGAAAGTTTTTGATTCTATACTGACTAGGTACTACATTAAGGGAGGGAAAAGTAGAATTTGCCTGACTTGGAGACCAAGGGTCTAAGTAACCTCTGCAGAAACTTGAACAGTTACTTGAGACCAATAAAAGATGTTCTTTTAAGGAGCGGCCAGATAAAAACAGATTCACTGCTTCTTTTTCATCCTTGTCCTCTCTTACACTGTTTTTTTCCTCGTCCCAAAAACTGTGCCCAAGAACTTGTCACTCTCTAGCTTTGTAACCTTAGGAGAATCTTCATCTGTCAAGCAAAGATAGTAGTTTGTAAACTACACAGTTATGTAGGTGTCTGTTCCATAAAAAATGGTCAACAAGGGGCCGGGGATTTAGCTTAGTGGTGCTGCACCTGCCTGGAAAGCGCAAGGTCCCGAGTTTGATCCATGGTACTGAAAAAAAAAAGTTACAAAAAATGTTCAACAAATGTTATTTTTTTGTCTCCTTTTCATTACTCTTCCTTGTTGATTTCTATCATGTGTTACTGTTGTCAGTGTGCTTATCCTTATTATTCTTCTTTGATTTAAAAAAATTGAGCCAGGCATGGTGGTGCACGGCTGTAATCCCAGCACTTGAGAGGCTGAGGCAGGAAGATTGCCTCACGTTTGAGGCCAGCCTGGGCTACATAGTGAGTTCAAGGCCAGTCTAAACTGGATAGTGAGTCTCTGTCTCAATACCCCTGCCAAAAGAAAATTTAAACTAGCATTGTTTAAATTGGGATTAAAAGCAAATATCTAAAATAATTGTTTATAACAGCAGCATTTAAGTTCAATATCTAAGGGACTTTCACGTGTAAAGTATGTTTTTTTATGTAACTCTCATTATTGAGAGGACATTTTTTCAGTTTAAGTGAATAATTTTACTTACTATTTTAATTAAAATATTTAATTAGGGCCGGGGATTTAGCTCAGTGGTTTTGCTGCCTTCTGTGCAAGCGCATGGACCCAAGTTCAATCCCCGGTACCCCCCTCCCCCTCAAAGAAAAGGATGTTTATTATGTAAATAGGTACATTAATAGTTAGCAGAGTTTGAAAGTTTCATTCTAAAGCTTATTATACTTGGATAATAAGAACTCCTAATAGCCCTTAATAGAGCCAAGAAAAGCCTTTTGAGTGTTGTTAATGGACTGCTTTAGAGTAAAAGAACCAACCTTTTGCCTGGTAATGCACAGAGTTAAAAAGGGGAAGAGGGGATTTGATTCTCTTGAATATTTTCTAGCATTTTCTCTTCTTGCCTACCATGACTGGTACATTAGGATATAGATCCATCTGGGAGACCAGACTGTCAGGTATTAGAGACATTATAGATGATCAGTTATTATAGTAGCACAATACAGCAACAATTTCAAGAAAGATCAGTGAACATTTTTCGTACCTATTGAGTATCCATCAAAAAAAATTTTTTAAATGATATATGGCATATGAAAACAAGTTAGACATAGTCTACATCCTTAGATAATATACATCCTGAAGAGATGATTAGATGATAATATCAAACAATAAAATATATACCCAAGTTTGTAAATGTCATTAAGAGCTTTCTGGATAAGAATGGTCCCAGGAGTGAAGGGTACTTTTGGTCTTTGGAGTGTGGAGTGAATTTTTGGAGTGAACACACTTTGAGTTGTGGAGCTCATTCTTTATAACTAATTCACTGAAGATCTAGGGTAAGTCCCTTTTAATGTGTGTGCCTTCTTTGCTTTGTCTTCTGAGGTCCAAAGAAGAGCAAGAAAGTGGGACTACTAAAATATGTTGGGAGTTCATCATACAGGATGTAGTATTAGAATATATTTAGAAATTAATATTTTAAAAATGACCCCATATCCCAAATCAAACAATTTGTATTAGGGATTTGCTGATTAAGCTTTACAACAAGAATTCAACACTTCACTGTCATCTAATGGCATCCTATCTTAAAAAATCCTACCTTATATTTATTTACTTCTCAGTTTGAATCTTCTTCAAGTGCACATTCTTAATCTCAAACCTCATGTAGAGAATTATTTATTTAGATGTCTCCAAACTGGTTTCTTGGCATAGTTCTTGCATGGTGTGAATAAATTCTTCAGATAAGGTCTTTCGTGACCCACTGTGACTGTTCTGACCTTCATTCTTGTCATTCTTCAACAGACCTCATTGAGAGCAGCATAGTTTTTGGTGTATTGTGACTTCTAATCTACAAGCATGGTAACTGACATAGAAACCTCTATGGCAGTGTTCTTAATCTGTTTGGGGTCATATATTACTTTGAGAGTTTGACAAAAATATATGAAGTCTTTCCCTAATAGAATGTGTGTGTTGTATATTCACTCAGAAAATAGTTCTGCATGAAATTTCAGAGATTCATGAAATTCATTTTACCTCCAGATAAACTTAACTTCTTGAACTTTAATGTGCATAGTAATCACCTGGGAATCAAATTAAAATGTAGTTCTGAGTTACCAGATTGAGGATGAGTCTGAGAGTCTGTATTTGTAATAAAGTCACAGGAGTAGAGGGTACTTTTGGTCTTTGAAGTACACTTTGAGTTGCAAAGCTATAGAGGACCTTGAATAAGCTTTATTTTTAGTACTGGAGATTGAACTCAGGACCTTATGCATGAGAGGCAGATGCGGTGCCACTGAGCTAAATCCCTGGCCCTGAAGAAGCTTTTTTAATGCATAAATAAACTCATGAATGTTTGAGTCTTGTATTGATTTTCCATTAAAATGATTTAAATTTTTTTCTGACAAAAATTGTGGTACTTGAAGAAAAAGTGATATTTGCTCTCTAAAATCTGTTGCCTGTAATAGGTTACCAGCATTTATAATGAGACCTTATGATTCAGTTTAACAAGTTTAGGTACTTTCCTATTCTCTGAAGTAAGAACATTTTACCATTCCTTGTGCTTTTAATAGGAATATACTTAGTACATTCTTTGAATTGAATGACATTTTTAGGTTATTTATTATGACCTAACCTTAATGATACTTACAGAAGATCATCAGTATGTGCAAATATATATTGCCAAAACTTCTATCAACTTCTATTTCACCTTTCAATGAACTCATAAATACCAGGTACTATAAACAAAAAATGCGTGGAAATAAAGCAGTATTGAGTAAGAAATACTTTGAAAAACCAAGCCATGATTTCTTCTTTGTTTCTTGGTTACTTCACTGCTTTGCATTTTAAAAATACTTTACTACTACTGTATTTATTGCACTCCTCATATTCTAGTTTGTATCTCTGTTAATTAGTTTATAAATAGGGAGTAGTCATCAACATTACATTCATGTCAAGAGGCATAAAATATGAGTGAAATAAATCTTGTTGGCCAAATGACTCATGTCAGGTTTAGCTCTCTAGATTGTGATGTCTATTTTGAAATAATGGAATTGCTAACTTATATACAAATGTCATGTAATAAAAAACCTTCATGGATGTCTTGATTGTGGTATTATAGTAATTCTGAGGTAATAGGCTATACTAATTTGCAAGGGCTGTGATAAAAAAATATTAACAGACCAGGAAGATTAAACAACAAATATATGTTGTCAAAATTCTGGAGGGGAAGTCTAAGATCAAGGTCCTGGCATGACTAGTTTTTCTTGCTTCTTGCTGCTAGTCCTCATGTCTTAAAGATCACTGCCTTCTAGCTGTGTTTTCACACAGCTTTTCTTTTTGTGCATATGTAAAGGCTGTAATCCCAGCCTTTAGGAGCTTGAGGTAGGAGAGTCACAAGTTTGTTGTCACCCTGGGATACATAGCAAGTTCAAGTCCAGCCTGGACTATGAAGCAAGATCTTGTCTTTAAAAAAAAATGTCATCCAAATTCATTTGAAAATCTGGATTTCCAACTTGATTTCTTTTTTTTTCTTCTTTTTTATTTTTTGGTACCGGGGATCCACCTTGGGTCCTTGTGCTTTTGAGGCAGGCGGCAGAACCACTGAGCTAAATCCCCTGCCCCCAACTTAATTTCTTAATCTCTTAGTTTTAGTATTGGACTGCCCTTGAATAGCAAGCTTGCCACCAAAGATACGGTCTTCTCAGTAAGCCACAAATCCCTGCTATTTCTACATACTGGCAGTGTGCAGTAGAACACTGATGTGTAGAGTTTTTTTCCCAGCACCTTCACACTGAGCTGCATCACCAGCTTTTTTTATTTTTTATTTTGAGACAGGGTCTTGATCAGTTACCCATGTTGGGCACGAACTTGAGATCCTCTTACCTCAGCCTCCCAGAGTGCTGGGATTACAAATGTGCACTGTGATTCTGGCTAGAGAACACAGTAATTTGTAAAAATGAATAATAGTCCTAGATATTTCATATACAAAGTATATCAGTTACAAGAATACAGCTTAAAATGCTGGTCTACTTCACTTATTCCTGATACTCATTAAGCTCTGTAGGCTTTTAGTGTTTCACTTCTTTTCTTAATAAAAATTGGCCTATTATCAAACTTACAGAATTTTTCACTAGAAAATTGAATTTTACCACATGTAAAATGCGTTAAAACTTCATTCAATAAAAAATCAGACAAACCTGAGAATATTTTTCCAGATAGCTGGAGATGTGGCCTCAGGGTAATTTTCTGAAAGCAGGATTATTAAGTCAAGGGAGAAATACTTGTATAATTTTAATAGATAGTCTAATTTCCTTCTATATATTATTTTCTCCAACCCATTCCTACCCCCACAATGTATGAAGTGCTTTATTTCCTTATTCTTTAATAGGGTATTTTTTGAGCTTTTAAATTTTTGTC